TATGCTTTGTATGCAGTGATGACTTGAAGCAAATCAGGCTCCTAATGAACTAAGGGCTGACAAATCCTTGGCAAGAAATTTGTTTCCTGAATGTTTGTCTCTCAAATCCCAACTAAGAAAATAAATTTTTCCAGTCCTATGGTTTTTAATATATTTTATTTTTTCTCTTTTTTAAAAGAATTTGCCATACAATGTATTGTATTCCTTCCCACCCATGTCCCAACATGCTGTGCCCTCCCAGCCCCTCCTCACTTCCTCTGTCCCACCCTCCTGGTACTTCTTGTCTATTCTTCCTCCTCACTGTTCCTGGTGTAGACTCCAGGTTTCTGCGGATGGTGAATGGTGATCCTGGACTTAAGAAGAAACCCTCCCCAGTCTTAGTGCTAACTAGGTTTATAAGGAGGCTTCTGTGTGGACAGGAGGGGTGGCAGGATAAAGCTGAAAGCTGATGTCTTCAACGCAAACACAAACCAGAGAGCCAATCAGTGGACGGTTTATGTCAGAGCTCACATGGATGTCCCCACTCTGTGACTCTAGCACAGCAAAACACACGAGAGTCCTCAAATCTCAAATGTTCTTTGGAGATAGACAGTGTTGTTGGACTTGTCTCAGGAATCAGTGAGTAAGTCCTTCGGAGTCTGGGTAATGTTCACTGTTACCATCAGTAACCACTGAGATCCTCTACAGCTCCTTCCCTGAAGCCTGGCAATCACAGATCATCAATCATTGTTCCTACTGATGACTAAACTGGTTTCAGGTAATGATTGTAGCTAGCAATCCAGCCTGAGATAAAAATACACATTCAGTTTCTTAAGACTTAAAAATATGTGAGGTGTTTGGTTAGGTCGCATGTTGTTTATTTGGACTTTCCCTGTAAAATTCATATTCTATTTTTTTCAAAGTTACTCCATCTGATATTCCACTCTCCTCGAATACAGAGGTATCTTTTTCACTATGCATTATCAGAGTTTTCCTCTTTGTCTTTCATTACAGAAGGAGCACGTAAATGGAGATTTTCTCAGGACCTCATTCAGCATCATTTTCTTTATAGCTGTAACTATGAAAAGTTGACAACCACAGTTATGACTCTGAGGAAGAGGAGGAAGGAAAATCGCAGATTCCTGCCCCTACAGGGTTTCTGACACACTCAGGATGTTGTTGCAACACTGTGTCTCTCGCACAGTAATAGACTGCAGAGTCCTCAGATGTCAGGCTGCTGAGCTCCATGTAGGCTGTGCTGGAGGATGTGTCTGCAGTCAGTGTGGCCTTGCCCTGGAACTTCTGTATATAAAATTTATGTTTGCCATTCAAGAATGTTGCATACAAAAAACTCACTGAATTGACCTAAAGGGAACAAACTCAGAAATATTTGCCCATTGATGTTTATTACAGCTCTTTCTTTCTTCTTTCTTCTTTCTTTCTTTCTTTCTTTCTTTCTTTCTTTCTTTCTTCCTTTCTTTCTCTCTTCTTTTTCTTTTTCAGGACAATCTTTCTTTCATTCATTTTTTATTTGAATTAGAAACAAGATTGTTTTACATGTCAAACCT